GTTGAATATAAATGGACACAATACTCTGATTTTAATAAAATGCTACTATAGAAAGAAACATTAATGATCAGAAGACAGTCTCCATATAAAAAGATGAAGATTTATTGATATTTAAGGATAGAAATTATATACAATATAAATGTAAGTGTAACATTGATAAGGCTGTGGTGACGGACAAAAGGCACTAAACTGATAAAGAAGGACATTCCATGTTTTAGGGACTCCAGCTGAACCTACATTAGACCTTTCAATGACCACAGACCACTGATGGACCACTGGTAGTTTTATTTCTTATTTTCCTATTTGTTCCAAATCCAGCAGTCTTTTCTTCTGTAATATTTAATTTACTGCTAAACCCCTATTTTTTTAATTTCATCTCTAAAAGACAAATTTGGGGCTTTTATAATTTCTTCTTTCACTAATTATGAACCTATGGAGTTTAGTCCTAAAAAACTGTCTTTTTCTATACTGATAAAGTCTTTAACTCCAGTAAACATTGTTTCTAGTTTAAATAATAAACTCTTGTTTAATTTTCAGTTGATTTTTGTTCTTTGTTTCATCCTGACATGAAGATCCTTCAACTTGCATTACTTCCTTCCTGCTTGAAGGACAGCAGTTTGTTTGTCTGGGTGACAAACGCTATGTTGACTGTATATTTGCTTGCTTAGGAATGTGCTTCCTTGCTTCTTTGAGAGATAGTTTTCATTTATTTTTTTATCTAATATCCAGTTCACTAACTCCTTTCTCTAATCAATTTACTGTAAAATGAGTTCTCTGAGTTCGTTGATGTTTGTTATATTTATTTTCATTTTTAAAAGTTCTTTTTGGATAGCTTACTATTTTTTATTTCAACTTTTATAATTGCACATTCCCACACTATTTTCCAACTCATTAACCTGTCTTTAACCATAATAAATTTAGATTTTTAAAAAACTGAGCTTAGGCTTTTAATGTTTCATTTTACTTTAAAAGCTCTATAGCATGCCCATAGTATTTATAAAATTATATTGTTTTAGAAGCACTTTCAAGTTTTTAGTTTTATGCTACTGATCTCATAAATTTTCATTCTGTACTGACTTTTGATATTCATTTTGTTTATTTATTTTTTGACTGACACATAATATGTGCACATATTTATGAGGTACAATGTGATGCTTTGATTATGTAAAGTTTTCTTCTGAAAATGTCCACATCTATTTAAATGCACAGATTGATTTCTGCTTTTTTTTTTTCCCTTCAGTCACCTCCAACTCCTCGGCTCTTCTTTGCTCTTTATGTCCATCAACCTTGAAATTCTACTGACAAATCATTAGTTCAATGTCCTCAAGGTCTAGGAGGCAGGTGACTTCCTCCAAAGAGGATCATATTTTGCTTCAGCCAAATGCCTGGAGGACTTCAAGATCAAGTTCTTAATTTGGTGTCTGTGGTACCAGTTTAAGTGAGGCCAATCCACAGCTGGAGCTGTGCAGGGGTCTTCCTCCTCTGTCCTGTTCTCTCCCATCCCCATTTGCATTTGCTTTTACTTAAACCAAGGTAATATCCTCTTCTCATTTTGCTGGGGTTTAAAGAAGTCAGAAGGAAACTTAATTCTGCTTTTATCTTATCTCATCTGGCTGTTCAAAGTGTTGTGGGCATCTCCTTCACATTTTGGGTAGTTTCTAGGTCTTGACTATCTTGCTGCCCTATGAAGCCAACGGTGGTTGCTCATATGCAGACATATTAGAAATGTCCCCTGGGAAGAAAAGCAGCCTCTAGAGTAGTTTTGTTTTTTTCCTTTCCTTTTCACTTCTCTAGGATCAGGTTTTCATTCACACCACAAACAAATATCAACTCAAATTGATATTAAATACGTAAACAAAAATCCTGGATATTTAAAACTCCTAGTGGGGGGAAACTTAGAGGGAAGGTTGAACTACGTTGGTGTGGGCAATCATCTCTTGGATACAACCCCAAAAGCATGAGCAACAAAAGCGAAAATACACAAAAGGGGTTGCATTGAACTAAAAAGTGGCYGCACAGCAAAGGAAACAATCGACAGAGTGAAAACCCCACAGATTGGGAGAAAATGTTCGAAAATCATGCATCTGATAATAAGCTCATATCAAAAATATCTAAGGAAGTCAAACAACTTAATAGTAAGAAAAAACAACCAATTTTTAAAATGTCCSTGGATACACATTTCATAAAAGAAGACATAAATGTCCAATAGGTATATGAAAAAATGTCCAACATCACAATCCTCAGAGAAATGGACATTAAAAGCACAATGAGATATCCCCTCAGACCTATTAGAAGGACTGTTGTCAAAAAGATGAGAGATACATGTTGGCAAAGATATATAGGAAAGGGAACACTGGTAGACTGTTGATGGTAATTAGTACAGCCACTGTGGGTAACATGATGGCGGTTCCTCAATTAAGAATAGGGGCTGGGGTTGTGGCTCASTGGTAGAGGGCTTGCCTTGTACATGTGAGGCACTGGGTTTGATCCTCAGCACCACATACAAATAAATAAATAAAGATATTATATCCATCTACAACTTAAAAAATATTTTTAAAACATTGTTTTAAAAAATTAAGAATAGCACTACCATCTGMTCTAGCAATTCCACTTCTGAGTATATATACAAAGTATTTGAAAGCATCAGTACATGACCTATACCTCCCTGTTTCTTGTAGCATGATCCACAACGGCCGACCTAGGTACCCAGGGTAAATGGGTATAAAAAATGTGGATACACACAAAATGGAACACTAGTCTGCCTTCAAAAAGAAGGAAATCTGTCATTTGTGTCAATGCAGATGAAGTTGGAGGACATACGCTAAGTAAACCAGCCAGGCACAGAAAGACAAACACTCCACCATCTCACTTGTATATGAAATCTAAAATGTTCAACTCACGGCAGTAAAGAACAGAAGGGTGGTTCCAGGAGGCTGGAGGTGGGGAAAGAGAAGATGTGGATCAAAGGATAAAAGCTTTAGTCAGACATCAGGAATAAGTTTCAGGGGCCTGTTGTTATGTTAGACAACCTGCCATTGCTGTAGGGACATACCTGAGACAGTCAACTTGTAGAAGGGAAAATGTATTTTAACTCACAATTTCAGAGATTTCAGTCCTTAGTCTCTGTTGCTTTGGGCCCGAGATGAGGCAGAATATCATGGCGAAACGGTGTGGTGGAGGAAAAATACTCACCTTAAGGCAGCCAGGGAGCAGAGAGAGAAAGAGGAAAAAATATATCCTTTAAAGGCACCCCCTGTGATCCACCTCTCTCCAGTTTCCACCACCTCCCARTAGCACCACCAGCTGGGACCAAGCCTTACAACATTGAGCCTTGGGTTCACTCAAGAACCAAACTATAACAATTGACTAGCATAGTTACTATTGTTAATAATAACATAYGTTTCAAAAATGCTCAAGAGTTGATTTTTACATGTTCTCATCACAAAAAAATATGTGAGATGATGATGATAGTTAATTTACTCGATTTAGTAATTCCACAGTGTATAAATATATGGCAATGTTACATTGTATCGCATAAATATATGCAATTAGGTTTTGTCATTTAACAAAAGCCTCTTGAACTTAACCCAGGGACAATATGTCAGGAAATAAAAGACTCCAACATTACATATGTTAGAAATGTTTCAACTCAGGGATTCATTTCCCTTGTAACTGAAAAATACAAAACGAAACACAAGTAGTTTTTATTTTATATTTGCTGTACGGTTGAATATGTCTTATGAACTGAATAAGTCCTACCAAAATGAATAAGTGGAATCTCTTTGTAAAGAGCATAAGTAAAATTCAACCAGAAATGCAGAAAATGAAAAATAAACCCGGCATTTATCTATGTATCATAGAGTTAGCTTTGAATTGCTAATAAGGTGGAGATATCTATTTGTATTCATCTACCTAATCCATCAACATCTGATTATTTGATATAGATTGAGATTAAGTATCCATCTATACCTCCACCTTAACAGCAGTGTGACACCAATCAGGAAGGTCTGATTCCAGAGAAGTAAGAAAGAGATTAAGCCAGAGAGTCTGCCTGTTTCTCCCCAAGGACATTTTCCAACATAGACCCACAATGAGCAATCTTCACTCTGTTTCTGTCTCTGTTTCTACCTGTACCTCTGCCTCTGCTTCTGCCTCTGTTTCTACCTCTMTCTGAGGCTCCCTGGCTGTTCACTGAAACTCTTTCCTCTTTATCTTAATTCCATATGCAAACTCCACTTTGGAGTTAGGAGGGACCATGCCCCTAATTGACCTCTGTCCCATATGACACAGGCCATAGAATGTGAGCCGCTCCCAAAACCTTGCTCACAGATTTCTCCTGGGTATTGCTATCTATGCTCTTTTCTCTTTTGCTCCTTTGAACTTGGAGACCTTCAAAGCATGTSTGGAAGAAGACTTCCATGTGTGGAAGTCAGGATCTTGGTTCTCCCACCTCTTGGAAGGGCTTCATCCTTTGTTGAGAAATACCTGTGGGTTTCAGGTGCACATGGCATTCAGCCACTGAAATCTGGGTGCATCCCTTGTGTTTGCTGCTGTCCCCTTTTCTAATACAGTGTTTCAGATTATCCCCATGTTTCTAGAAAAGGAATGGTCAAAATTAGCCCTGTCTTTGGAAAGATAAAGTTACAGCAGGGCCAACAGGTTTAACAGAGCCTACGTATAAATAATTTAAAGGAAGAAGGTGTAAAAAGTAAGGTCTCCAGGCAAGTTTAAAACTCTTTAAAAGGGTGAAATGCAACGAGATGGCATGGGTTGTGTGCACTGAGTACATTTTCCTAAGACATTTGTATTGGGGTCCATGGGCCCTAGTCTGGGTAGTCTAAGAAGGACCTTGATTGTGAAAATGGTGTTTCTTGAATAATTTTCTGATTTTGACGGTACAAGGCCCAGCTCTAATGATAATGCCTTATCTTATACAATTATATTTCTCAGATGCTGGAAGAAATAAATACAAAATTTCAAGATCTGGAAACTAGGTTTATTCTTTTCAGGTGGAAGAATCACACAAGGCTCAGAGTTTTAGGAGGTAATCAKAAAACCTGAGAAATAGATAATGACTTCTGCTTGATTTGGTTCCTCTGTTTCAACATCTGCTTCTAGCCACACCTTGTCCCCCTGTCTCAGCGGCATAATCATGGCACCAGAAACATTTTCATATTCTTCTTTGGAAAGCTGACGCTTTTCCATGACTTGGGCTTGGTTCTTCATCAGCCCAACCTTCACCTTGCAGTGGTGAAGCTCAACATCAAAGCTGAAATGGTAATTTCCAGGCTTCCTGCAGTTAAAGATTCCCGACATCTCGTTCAAGTCCATTTGAGCATTGTACAGGACCTCTGTGAAGACGACAGGCTTGGAAGGTGGCGGGAGCCTTCCACTGAGCTTTACAGTGAAGGCTGACCTCTCTCTGCAGCGGCACTTTACATTGTTCCCTTTTGGTCCTGGGTGTCCTGGTATACCCACAATGCCTAGGAAGGACACAGAACCATCTGTGAGAAGCTGATGCCTTCGTGGGAGCATGTACCCTCCCAGGAATGCACTCGGGGTGTCAGGAGTTCACTTGCTGAATTTGAGAGACACTCCAGATTCTGTGCATATCCCAATATCTCAGAGTTGGAACCCCTGTTGTAGTTTCCACCAATGCTAACAGAGCTCTCAGGGCAAGGTTATAGAGAAAGCAATACTTGCTCCGTTTTCCCTAACATTCCTGGATCTCTATGTTTTCCCCTCCCTGGAGCAGACATTCCAAGGGTGCTATGCCATACTGGATGGTACTGAGCACCCCAGCACAATTTTGACTTTGCACAACGTGGCCTGTCCAAAGCTCAGGAACTCAGTTTACTACCCATTAGATCTTCTTTGACTTTCATCTGAGCAAGTCATACATCAATCAAAATTATTGTACTAGTTTACACCAACCTCCTACAGGGATTAAGTTACTGCCTTGGCTAAGAGAGTGAACTTCAGGCTTATACAAGAAATAAGTAGAGAGGGCTGGGGTTGTAGCTCAGTGGTAGAGCGCTTGCCTTGCACACATGAGGCACTGGGTTCCATCCTCAGCACCACATAAAAATAAATAAAGAAAACAAAGACATTGTGTCCATCCACAAGTTAAAATATATATATATATATATATATATATATATATATATATAGAGAGAGAGAGAGAGAGAGAGAGAGAGGTAATATTTTATCACTTATTAACAGTATTTTTCTACATATATATATATATATATATATAGGTAATATTTTATCACTTATTAACAGTATTTTTCTACTCAAGTTCCTTAACAATTTTAAAGATCTCTTTCCTCAACTATGCAGCAACCCTTAATAGTACTCTTTTAATTGTTCCTGAATTAGTTAGCGTTCCATGTTATATTCGCTGTTGTTATTACTACTATTGGTCTCTAAGTTGGGACTATGATCTTTGTCCCCTAAAAAATCTTAGGAAAATGTGATAATAAAAGAATGATGACATTTTTCTGTGATTTCTACTCCTGTGGGTCTGCATTTACTTGATGACACTAACCTTGAATTTAAGAGGTTGAATCTTTTTCTCTGAGGACAAGTGAACCATGGGATCACAAAACCTGAGTCCCTTTGATCCTAGAATATGGACCCATGGATGCTCAGTGATGATGATAGCTGTATAAGAAACTTTTCAAAATGCATGGGATTGTCTCCGAGGGACCCTTTTGGCAATCTCATTTAGGTGCCAGCAGCAATGCACGAAGCCTCCTCGCTGTGCACAGTTCTAGAGCCTCAGCGTGCATCAGAATCACGTGGGGGCTTGCTCAAACACAGGTTGCTCACCAGGGACCTTCTCAGAGGAGACCTGGGGTGGAGACTAAAATTTGATTTTATAAGAGAATTTCAGGTGCTGCTGCTGCTGGTCTGAAGACAACCCTTGGAGAACTGTGTCCCTACCTGGCAAAGGCAAGAAGCACACTAGGAATCTGGTGCAGCCCGTGAGTAGGATCTAGGRTGCATCTAGAACCCAAGGGTATACAGGGCTTACTGGGCACCAGTTACCCCAATAATGCATGGACTTGGCTCAGACATTACTATAATCAAATGCACATCTTCTCACAAGCATGCTGTGCTACTCAGCCCTTGGGAGCCCTTTCTCTCCCCTTAACTAGAAAAGTTATCCTGATCCATGCTTCCACCTCTGCAAATATGAATCTTCTTGGTAGCTCCTCTACCTTGACTTACCCTTCTGGAGCAGCATGGCCTTCAATCACCACCTGAGCCTGGAACTGGGCCAGATTCCTAAGTCTTCATAAGATCTGTGATTTGGGCTAATGAGCATTGTGCCAAAGAAGCCCTATCTGAAGCTAATGCTGGACCTCAATTTCTTTCTCTCCATTCTTTCTATTTTTTTACTTGCTACTAATAATCCTATGAAAACCATGACATTTCACCCAAAGGTTGAGAGGGAAGGGAAATTAAGGAACAGAAGAAAAGACTTTCTTACCTGGGRGACCTTGGAAACCAGGGGGCCCCATCAATCCAGGAACCCCTGGATATCCCCGAGGTCCTGGAGGTCCATAGCAGTCGACCTGATCATTGAAGACATTCACCAGGAGAACAGATATGGCCAATCTCCACACATCTAGAACAAGAAGCAAAGAAGAATTATTCACTAACAATCTGTGTAGGTAGAATTAAAGCTGTGTCAATCAAAATAACTTCATACATGCTTGGGTTCAAATGATAGCTGTACCTCTTATCAGTTTATGTTAAACCCTACATTGTAGCTGGCCCTTTTTGTTAACTTCTTTATCATGAACCACCACCCTGGAATTCAGTTATGACTATATTCAAGATTGTTAATCTCTGTTCTTATGCATATCTTTGTCAGATAATAAATACTTAAGAAATAGTGTTGAACTGTCGAGTGAATAATCATTAATACAGGTTACTAGTTATTGCTTATCATGCTCAGAATACAATGCTAGAAACATTATTTCATTGAATTTTTATTAAAGTTTGGTAAGAGATGAGCTCTTAACCTATAGTTAAAGATAAGGAAGCTGAGATTCCCCAAATTTATAGTTATCAATGCCAAACAAGAAAACCAGAAAGAACAAGAGGTAGGATTTGAATCCTAGTCTCAGTCCAGACCACTATTCCAGTGAATTTCAAGTGAATTAGTGTGTATACGTGATCCTGCTTCTTGACACCTCAAGATGCTGAGTTAGAGGTTTTTAAAATTTGCTTGTCTTTGTTTTGTTCTTTACTTTTCTCAAACCAACCTTGTGTTTAAACAGGGAATATAAAGCAGAGTGGACTATCATTTACTCCCATGTTTTCCTGTTCCCCAGATCAGCAGCCCCCAAAATAATGTGTAGAGAATAATAGGGTTATCAACATTATCCACACTGAAGTTTTCGGTCCCTATTAAGACTGGCCATTTCCAATCCACCTCCTTCCGGACTGGAAGATTGGATCACACCCTCCCACCACTTGCATCACAACCCTACTGTCCCTACCAGTCATTCTCAGGTAGAAAGGCCAAGTTCTCTTGGTGGGCTTCTTCYAGTACAAAAGGTTCCTGTGTTGCTTAGCTCAAGAGCCTGAGGCTTGGGTCCCTGTGAGGGCTTCCCTGTAGCAAGGACTCTTAAAATGTTCTGCAATCATTTCTTCAATATTGAAATATTTTCAGAAGGTCCAACCTGGGTCCACAGCAAGGTTAATGATTAACCCAAAGCAGGACCTTTCCAGACTTTGGACAGGAAGATGGTAACATCTTGGTCAACTCCAGACTTTCCATCTGGAATGTCTGTAATGAAAAATAGCTGTGACAGGTAAAACCCAGCCTCCAAGATAGATGATAGCAGTTAGAACCCGTTCAAGAGACCCACTGACAATATATGGTATTCTTGACAGCTGTGGAGAGTGGATGTTACAGTTCTCACCACAAAAATAACCACGAGTGGTAACATAGTTTTTTTTTTTTTGTTCTGTTTATTTGATGTTTTTTTGGTGCTRGAGATGGAACCCAGAGTTTCATACAATGCTACGCTCTGCCACTGAGCCATGTTCTCAGCCTCAATGCATTTGTTCACTAGTTATATTTAACCCCCACACAGTGTATATTTACTTCAAAACACATTATACACAATAAATACACACAATGTGGACTGTCAATTTTTTTTAAATTAAAATGCTAGAATGTGCCTTTCCTTGCTTTCCTACTATTTTCTGAGTACTTATTCACTACATCTAAGCTCAGTCCCAGGGCTGTGAAACCATTTCCCTGGATAAGAAATCTTTATAGACAGAAGAACTTCTCTGGGCTCATTGGCAACTCATTGTTGGACAAGCCACCACCATTATTTGAAGGCCAATGTGTGATACATATAAATYGTGTTGTTAAACTAAGAACATCACACAAGAAGAATGTCTTCTCAGCTGTTATTATTCTTCATATGTCATCTCTTTAAGTCCTTATTACATTATTATAAGAAAAACACTACTATGACTTGGTGACCTAAAGCTGGCTGTCCTTGGTTGCAAATCCATTGTGCAGTACAAAACATGACCCTGTTCTCAAGGTCATGATCCACTCATTAGCAGACAAATCCAGAGGCTTAGATCAGTCTCAGGTTCAACCTCGTTGACAACACGAGCCATGGTATTATTATGTCCCTCTCTGTGATGTTAGCAGGTGCTGATGCTAGATGTCTACTGTCATTAAATTGCTGCTTTAAAATAGTGATATTCTAATTCTATAAATTCTTTTCCATGAGTTAGTTGTAACATTTTGATAAAGAGACTTTATGTCTCATCTACTATTATTTCTACCCAGGGGTAAAATTCATACAAGAAACTTAGAACAAATGTTTGTTTTTTCCCTCTCTTATTTGCCAGTTTCATTGATTTCCTTTCATCCTCCAAAGCTCAGATTAATTCAGTAAATTCCTAGAAGCATAATTGTTGGATTGCATAGTTGAGATTATGTTTTGTTTTATAAATGCCAAACTGCTCCCAAATTAGGTGACATTGCATTTCCACCAGCAATGAATGAAAATTATTTTGCTCTGCATCCTTGGCAGAAATTGAACTATTTTTTTATCTATTCTTTTTTTAAAAAAATATATCTTTATTTATTATTATGTGATGCTGAGGTTTGAACCCAGTGCCTCACATGTGGTAGGCAAGTGCTCTACCATTGAGCTACAACTCCAGCCCTGATTTTAGCTCTTCTGATAAGTATATAGTCACTGGTAATTTAATTTACAATCCTTTCTGGCCAATGCTGTTGGACATCTCAATATATGATTAGGTACCATCTCCACAACTTCTTTGGTGGGATGTGTATTCAGGTATGTTGCTCATGTTTTCAGGGGGTTGTTTATTTTCTTGTGGCATTATTATTTCCTTGTATATTTTGTCAGACGTGGTTTTGCAATATTTTCTTTCCATCTTTCAAGGGTCAAGGTTCAGTGGACTTTTGATTATTTAAACAGCATCATTTATGATTTTGGTATTATATTTTAAATTTTGCTACCAAACCAAAATCACTTAGATTGTCTCCTATATTTTCTTCTAGAATTTTCTAATTGTGTGTTTCTTGTAATGCATTGAAGTAATTTTTTTGTGAAAAGTGTAGGGTCCGTGTTAGGTTTGTGTTCTACATAAAACACCCAATTATTCTAGCAGTTTGTTGAATTGCCGTAGCTTTGTCAAGGTAAGTTGGCTGTTTTATGTGGATCCATTTCTGCACTCTCTATTCTGTTTTGCAGTATGTGTTTCCTTCTGTAGGTACTTTACTATGATTTACTGTAGCTTTATATTAAGTCCTAAAATCTGGGAACCTGTGTCCTCCTACTTTGCTCTTCTTCTTAGTGTTGTGTTGACCACTCTAGCTCATTCAAGTTCCCATGTACATTTTAGTTCCATTTGTTAATATCCATAAAATAGTTGCTGATTCATTAGTTATATTTTAAGTTGGTATTGCATTGAATTTATGTATCCAGTTAGAAAAAATTATCTTCACCACATTGAGTATACCAACCTACAAGCTTAAAATATATCTTCTTAGATTCTTTTATTGGAATTTCATTTTACAGTTTTCTTTATATATACCACATACAAATTTTGTTAGCTTTGTACTTGAGTATCTCATTTTTGGTGCCATCGTTAAATTAAAAAAAAAATCCACTTCCAATTGTTCTTTGCTGGTACAAAGGAGAGCCATTGACTTTGCATGTTACTCTGTGTCATGCAATCCTTCTGTACTCACTGGTTCCAGAAATTTTGTAGGGGTATTTTTATTTATTTTGGGGGAAACTCCTACATCACTATTTTCCTTCTTCCTTCCCAATCTCTATTCCTTTTCTTGTCTTATTGACCCAGGTAGGCCTTTCTGCATAATGTTGAATAGGGCTGGTGAAAAGCAACCTTCTTACCTGATTGCCAACCCGAGGAAGAGAGCATACTCAGGTCTTCACCAGTGAGTCTAAATATTAGCTGTAGCTTTTACCTGCGTAGTTTTTATTACCAAATTGGATCAGCTCTCTACTATTCCTGGTTTTGCTCAGATGCTTTGTTGACCCAGAACGTTGGGAGCAAGGTCCACTGGATGAGCTGGGACAGTGACTGTGTAAGGGTCAAGGTTCATGTATTAGGAGCAGAGCCTTGACCACCCACATAAAGGGTGGTCGCTTGTGAATGCCAATTGCTGCAACTTTCCTCTAGTTAAAATTCAACTAGGACACCCCAGGAAAGACCAGAAGACCAAGTATTCAGAGAATTCATTTCAGCAAATCATCCTTCAGCAAATTAAGCTTCAAAATCAAACCAAGTGAGAGAAAGGGACTAAAGAGGTGAGCAGCCCACTTTCAGTAGGCTTCTTCCCACGCTGTCTGAATGCCTCAGCAAAGAGGAGGAGCTCTCTCCAGGAGAGCTGCGGGTAAGTGCGCTCACCACTCCTAATTATGATAACGAGATATTACAATTCATTACTGCTTTGCATTGCCCAATCTCTTGCTTTCCATGCAAAAATATTTTTTCACTGAATTAAATCTGGGAGATCAAATGCCCATAACTCTGTCAAAGGTGCAGGTTTTCTTTCTGCCTTAGCTCTGGTGAAAATGGGTAAAAATGAAACTCATTATTTAATTAACTTTCAAATTAATATGGAGGAATTATGTCAGGCCCATGATGAAACCATCCTATATGCATGCTTTTGGAATATATGTTCAACGTTCATACTTGATGCTCATACTCAAAACCAGGAGCATAGTGCTCAGGAAAACTGTTTACCTTTCTCTATGTTCATCAATTCKGCCCAGATTTTTCATCTCTGAGTGTTCTTGTGCCTCATCCTGCGTGGGATGGTTTGTTCGTTTATTTCTCCATTAAATAATTGCCACGTCTCCCTCACACACATCTTATCACCACCTTGCACCTGTTCTCTCTTTTACTACCCTCATTATTTTACTGACTGTGATAAGATATTACAGTTCATTATTCATTACATTTATTTACCGTCACAATGATCCCTTCCACACCATGATTCGGACCAAAGCAAGTCACATAAGTAACCTCCAAGTTGAGGGACAGAGAAGGACTCTGATCAAGATGAGGCTATGGAATGGGTGTGGATGGAAGGAAGGGTGGAGAACTGCAGTCAAGAATTCCCTCTGCCACAGAGAATTAGCAGGCTCTGGCAGGACAGCACCCAAATGAAAATGCCCTCTACTGTTTAATTAATCAGTGGAAACAATACAGAAGTAAATAAATGCATATTCTTTCAAAGATGTTGGGGAAGTTTTCTTAGAATGAGTGACATTGAAACAGGATTCGACAAAATAAAAACTTTTTTTTTTTTTTGGATCAGGGAGCTGTGAAGTCAAGGTGTAGGGGAGGTATACTGTAGTGTTTCCAGAAACCCTAAAGCCTAAGTAAGAAAACCCTATATATCTTATCATTAGGCCAACACCAATTATTACAATGTGGCGGCCAGAAATGATTTCCTGACTAACAGAAGCAGGAATTGGAACAATCAACATTGGATTCCTATAGGAAAGATCAGGCTTGTCTGTGCGCCATCTAGAGGGCATCTGGAGAGGGTGCGGCAGCCTAGGATGATGCCCCGAGTTGATGTCATAGGAAGGAGCACATGGGATTGGGAGAGYTTGTGTCTCTGACAATATTAGGAACACAGTCTCTCAAGAACAATGGCATTTTCCTCCAATCTGTGTGAACTTTTTCCTGTAATCCTCTGCTCTAGGCGTCTGGATTTTGGTCATGGCCCTCACAGCTGCCCTGGCTGATTTCAACAATAAAGGAAACTCTGAACCCTGTGAACCTCAAGGTCCCCCAGGCCCTCCAGGCATCCCAGGCTTTCCAGGCCCTCCAGGACCACCTGGTCCAATAGGTGAGCTTATTTCCCTGTGACTCCCTTTCCCTTTGGTTGTAGTGTTTGTTGACCCATATGAGTTCCCCAGTGAGGCTGGCAATCAATATTGTTGAAGCAGGTGTTTCTTTTCAATGACTCTGCGCTGTTGCTCAACTCTTGATTGTCCACCAGAATGTCAAAACCTCAGCCTGTAGCTATGGAATCAGAAGTTCGGGAATAGATGCAAATAGTCTAAGTGCTTCAGAGGTTCCTCCCAGGATATTTGATGTACCACTGGGTCAGAGACCCCGACTATAGCTCYGGTTGGTCTCCACACATGACATGGTAGGGTATTTTGGTTTGCTTTTTCTTTGCCATGACCAAAGACCCCCACAARAACAATTTAGATGAAGAAAATTTTATTTCAGCTCATAGTTTCAAAGGTCTCAGTCCATAGATGTCCAACTCAATAGCTCTGAAGGCAGAATATCATGATGAAGGATACGGCAGAGGATAGCAGCATAGGACATGACAACAGGAAGCAGAGAGAGAGAGAGAGAGCTCTCCGCAGTGTGACTACCACCTCCAGCCACCTACCTGCCTACTGTTACAGCCCAGTAATCCATGTCACTGGATTAATGCACTGATTGGTTAAGCCTCTCATAACCCAATCATTTAATCTCTAAACTTCCTTGCATTGTCTTACACATGAGCTCTGGGGAGGCCACCTCATATCTTAAGCATAACAAAGGAGCAAGAACAAAAGCATGCATTAGCTGGATGCAGTGGTGCACATCTGTAATCCCAGCAGCTTGGGAGGATGAGGCAGGAGGATCACAAGTTCAAAGCCAGCCTCAGCAATTTAGCAAGACCCTATCTCAAAACAAAATATAAAAAGGCTGGGGGTATTGCTCAGTGGTTAAATGCCCTGAGTTCATTCCTGGTAATCCACCAAAATGCATTAAGTTCACTCGGTATATAAAAACTTGGAATAAGTGCGAGGAGCCTGCATTCACCCTAAACCTCCCCATTCTGCTGAAAAGCAAGTCGGGCAGGAAGAGGTTGCTTGCACTTTAAAAAGTCCAAGATAGGGACTCTACTTGCAGATTGCTGTTTATAGTAGGTTAAAATTTCTGCTTTGTAAGGGAAAAATCAGGCAAATAYAGACATTGTGAATATTTCAATCAGCTACACAGTTGACTCTGTAACAAGAGGTGCTTGCCAGCTAGAGAACTGTGATGGTGAAGCTGGAGCTTAGTGAGAATTCACAAACCCACGTTGTAGCGCTGAGCTAGAGAACCAGTGTGTATCACTAGTTAACTTTTAAGCTGGAATTGGCAAAATGAAATAAATTTTAAATTAAGATCAAATTGATTCCCGTGGTAGGAAAAAAATCTTACAATTGCACACATGTGCACACACACACACACACACACACACACACAGGTGCATGCAGCCACAACACCTACATGCAATCATGACATGAAAAATAACTATAAGCATTTAAAGGCAAAATCTACATTGCTAACTTAGAAGGAATGGTATCAGGTTGGGCCCAATAAATTTACAGAGTGTATCATAGAAAACATGCATATACACTTGCTTTGTTTATCAATTTTAAGTTCAATCATGTATTGAGGGAAATAACTTTACATTCTTTTTTTAAACCGGGACTGAAAGGGGCACTTCACCACTGAGCCACATCCCCAGTCCTTTYTATTTTTTTATTTTGAGACAGGCCTCACTAAATTGCTGAGGGTCTTGCTAAGTTGCCAAGGCTRTCCTTGAACTTGTGATCCTCCTGCCTCAGCTTCTTGAGTTACTAGAATTACAGGCATGTACCACAGCACCCAGTCATAACTATATACTCTTACAAAATACTATTGATTGCAATCACATAATTAACTTGATAAACCAAGGTAACTTGGAAAAATTAGCTTTAAAAAACCCTTTGAATAACACTCTTATGGACAAACTCTTACAAATATTGTTATTGTAATGCTCATTGTGGCTGCACATATTTTATATTAGAGTCATAATGATTCCTAAAACATCAGAGGCAGGATGGGGCATGGAAAGACCAATTGTTTGGGWTTCGGAGATTTCCATTTGACTCTGAGCACTATCTCTGAAAACTGAACAACTTGAGGGACAAGTTGACCCTTGGGGCAGCAGTTTGTGTCAGACTGGCTCATTTACATCACTAACCGTGCAGGTATCCACAGATAGAGATGTACAARAAACCGTATATTCATCAGTGAGGTTTGGGAGTCACCCAGGACTATGGCATTCTTGAGTTTCTGTGCCATCGACCTGTGGCTTTTAACCATGGCACAATATAATTTCTTCTCTGCTTCAATTCCCAAAGAAAGTGATTTTTAGTTATAAGGTTTGTAGTAAAGAAAATATGTGCTTCTGCCTGAAAGATATGTTAGATATAATTCAAGCATTTATTCCTTCAGAAAACATAACTTGAGTGTTACCTACAAGCTGGATACTTTAATAAGGTACAGCCCTAGTGCAGGCACAGGCATTGAGGAGGGATGGCGATTTAGTGTGGTAAAGGCATGATCAACATAAACACAGGGTGTCACTGCTCTAGAGCGCGGAGGACAGGATGTTTCTAAATCTGTGGTAGGAGAGTAAACTTCCAGTTAAGGGTTTAAGTTCAATCTTAAGGATAAGTAGGATGGAACGAAAATTGGTGGATGGGAGACAGAGAAATATATTGATCATCAAGGGCACAAGTTCAAAACTGCCTCTTCCCTCTATCTGCACGTCTTGGACTACAGGACCTCCAGGTTTACCAGGAATGCATGGATTACAAGGTCCTCCTGGAGACGTTGAGAAGTGTCCATCGCCACCAAAGTCTGCCTTTGCTGTGAAGCTGAGTGAGCGTCCCCCAGAGCCCTTCCAGCCCATTGTATTCAAAGAGTCTCTGTATAATCAGGAAGGCCACTATAACATGACCACGGGACAGTTCAGCTGCACCAACCCTGGTGTGTACAATTTTGGCTTTGACATCGGACTGTTTCAGAGTTCTGTGAAGATAAGTCTCATGAAGAATGGTATCCAGATCAGAGAGAAACAAGCCCAAGCCAATGACGGCTACAGATATGCAACGGGGACTGTCATTGTGGCCCTGGAGAAGGGGGACAAAGTCTGGCTGGAATCCAAGCTGAGTGGAACAGAATCTGAAAAAGGAATCACTCAGATGGTGTTCTTTGGGTATTTGCTTTATAGAAATTAAGTTGGCTTGAGCTCCTCCATCCCTCTTGTCAGTCCTATTTCACACACTGCTCATCATGGAATGAGGGAAAGTCTATAAAAACTCAAAAGTTCTCAGTTGAAAAAATAAAATTTAACACACATCCAAGAAATGTGGAAATGATAAATATAGTTTGCAAATAGCATGATCTCCACCACTATAGCAGACCCTGATGGGGTGGGGGGGGGTCTTTCAAGAAGTCAGAGAAAAGGATGTAGGAGCCCAGTGAATGGATTATGGGGAAGAAGTTCCCACAGACTCTTCCAGAAGCAAGAGCCTTGCTCTGTCCCAGCTCCTTGCTCTCCCCAGGTTTACTAAGGATTAGCCAGTGAAATGAGTTTCCCTGCAGACCTGGGAAAGTCCTTTGAACTCTAACAAAAATGTGAATGCTTAACATCAGTTCCTTCCCTGGGAGGATATTTTGATGGATGGATGGGAAGAGGACTKCGAGTATGGTTAGAGGAGGGTGTGTACCATCGCTTACTGTCAAGGACTGGATTGTGCACCCCCCCTCCAAATCCCTGTGCAGAAGCCCCAGCCCCTAAGGCTAACTGTATCTGGATGTAAGGTCTCGGGAAGATTAAGGTTAAATGAGGTCATAAGAATGAGGCCCTGTGTTAGTCAGCTTTTCATTATCGTGATCTAAACACCCAACAAGAACAACTCGGGGGAGGGATGATTTATCTTGGCTCGTGGTTTCAGAGGATTTAGTCAGTGGTTACTGACTCTGAGGCAGACACATCATGGAAGAACATAGAGCAGAGAAAGCTGTCAGCTCATGGCAGCTGGGAAACAGAGAGAGAAAGAAAGGGACTGGGAAGAAGATAAACCCTGGAAGGGGACCCCTACCCCACCACCCCAGTGATCTACTTCCTCAACTAGACCCCACCTCCCCGTAGTCCATTCAGCTTTCCGTGTTGGCCGATGACATCAGAGTTCGCACAACCCTGTCATTGTCTAAAGGCCCCAGCTCTGGACCTTGCTGTGTTCAAGGCCAGGCTTCCAATGCATGAGCTTATGGGGACATGCCAGATTCAAAGTGGCCTTATAAAAAGAAGACTTGGGTGGACACAACAAGAAGGAAGCCATCATCAAGCCAGAAGGAAAGACTTCCCCAAGAACCAAATTGATCAGCACCTGAATCTTGGGCTTCCCAGCCTCCAAAATTATAATAAATTTCTGTTGTGTCAACCACCCAGTTGATATGATATTTTGTGATGGCCATAGCCAACAAACACAGCCTTCAAACCTTGCCAATGACATAGCTGGTTTCCATTTTACCATTATTCCTTGCTTTTTTACTGAGACCACTTCAACTTAGTTTGGGGTAGCATTGAACCCAATTAAAATACCCAGCCCCCCACTTCAGCCCCATTCTCTCCTGGGGACAGGGGCAGTCATGTGGCACCCTGCTGACAACAAAGGCTATTGGGAAGTCTCATCCAACGGGGACTCAGTTGGGCTGATTCTTTGACTCTCAGCTTYGTCCTTTGTCCTTCCCTGGTCTGCAGATAATAACAACAGGAGTGGCACCAATCATGTCTTGATCATGAGAACTAAAGCCCAATGCTAAAGAGCTTTATTTTTAAACCATGAAACATGAAAGCCGCACATAAATATCAGTACAATATAAAGAACAAAATCAACATCTGTTTATCTAACATTCAGATCAATTAGCTGCAATTTCATTATATACCCAAAGTATCTTTTGTCCCCTGCCTGAAAGATGATTGAGCATGAGCACAGAGACAACCTGGCTTTTTAATGACCTCTTTGAACAGCTTTTCCAGCCCTGGATTTCCACCTTCAGACATGATTTTGGTTAGTTTTCCACTATTATGGAAAAATTCTGGAGCTAATTGCCTTAAAAGGAACAAAAGGATTTTTTTTTTTTGCTCATGGTTTCAGAGGTTCAGTCCACAGTTGGGTGGCTCTGGGCCTGAGGCAGAACATAATGGTRGGGAACACAAGGTGGACCAAAGCCGCTTCCTTTTTGGTGGCCAGGAAACAAAGAGACAGGGAGGGACCAGAGTTCCATATCCCCTTCTAAGGCATAGCCCCATGGCCTCACCCTTTCCACTAGGCCCCATGTTCTGAAGTTTCACACCTCCCAATAGCACTGCAGGCTGGCAACCAAACATTTAGTACATTGGCTTGTTCTCCCCTGCTCTCCAAGGCTCATGTCCAACTCCTAATGAAAAATGTATTTAATCCATCTCCAAGAGACCCCCAAACCTTAACCATTCCAGCAATGCTCCCAGGTCCATATCTGAAGTCTTCTCTGAGTCTCAAAGCAAACTCTTAGCTGTCAGCCTCTGTGAAAATCACGTTTATCTAATATTCAAACAGCAGGTTATATACTTCCAGATACAATGGTGCATTCCCACTTCAAGTGGGAATAATAGGAAAATAACGAGGAACTGGATCAAAGCAAGATTGAAAGCCAGCAGGTCATACATTAAATTCTGTAGTCCCCTATCCAGCACGGGGTGGGGGGTGGGTACCTGATGGCAGGATGTGGGCCCAGGGAATGAACAGCTCCCTATGATTTTGATGTAACTCTTCCCATATTTTACTTATTTATTGTTTTTATGCAGTGCTGAGGATGGAACCCAGCGCCTCACACGTGCTAGATGAGTGCTCTACCACTGAGCCACGGCCCCAGCCCCACCTCACAACTCTTACGTTCAGCATGTCTGCAAATCCAGCACCACACGCATGACCCCAGGCCCCACCTGTGAGAGCTGAGCCGCAGCCTGCGTAGACCATGGCTGTAGCAGACTGTGAGTGCCTTTCTGCCTGTAGCTGGGACATGAATCTCAGGGAAACAACTCCAGGTGGCCCTGCGGCAGCACAGTTTTTGGGGCTCTCTTCCCCAAAGAAACTCTGTGAAACAAGTTGACACCTTTCTACTATGAGGCTGGGATGGGTGAGGTCCTGCTGGTTCCTGAGATGCCTTCGAGGCGTCTTTCTTACTGTCCTGGTGTAAAGTACTTGGCTTCTTCTAATGGTGCCAATCCCTTTAGCAACTGCACCCTCCTTGGCAGCACCTTTAATTGTGCTCCTTTTTCAGCCAACTGCAGATTTTCCAAATTTTTTCACTCTGTTTCTTTTTGCTTCTGATTTTCATAATAAATTTGGCTGAAATCATCCAGTCATACCCATGCTGCTGCTAAATGCTCTGCTGCCTTGAAATTTCCTCTGCCAGACAGACAGTCCTCCCACATAGTAACAGGGCATGGGTGTAATGCAGCCAAATTCTTTTAAACAGTATAAAATGACAGCATGGTGTCCGATTCCCAGTGGCATCCTTATTACCATCTGAAACCTCATGAACAGAATTTTTACTGTCTGCATTTCTATCAGCATCTGGTCTTCTGATCTCTCACCAGAATTTCCCATTAAGTCCTATTTATAACATTCTACGGTTTCTCTAGTCTGCTCTTCCAGATTTTTCAAAACTCCTCCCACATAACTAGTTCCAAAGGCTCCTCCACACACTTCAGGCATCATCACAGCAACAACCCACTTCTTGGTGCSAATTTTCTGTGTTAGTCAGCTTTCCATTACTGTAACAAAATACCTGAGGTAATCAACTTAAAAGAGAAAAGTTTTGGGGGGCTTACAGTTTTGGAAGCTTTAGTCCATAGTTAGTTAGTTGACCTATTGTTTTGGGACTATGTTGAGGCAGTGCATCATGGTAGGAGTACATGGTGGAGCAGAGCTGCTTACCTCACGGCAGCTGAGAAGCAAGGAGGGAGACAGAGGAGAAGCCAGGGTCWCAATACCTTCTTCAAGGGCACACTTGAAATTGCCTAACTATTCCACTAGGGCACACCCCCTAAGTGTTTCACCACCTACCTCAGCACCTTGAATTGGGACTAAGCCTCCCACACATGGACTTTTGGGGGACATTGAAAATCCAAACTATGGCAGTCTCCCTGAGAAATAACCTTGCAACACTGCCAAAAGTTTATACAGTTAATATCTCTCCCAGCATTTCAAAGGAACCTGTGGCCTTTTAACAATATGATTATGCTCTCCAAAAGGGAAGTAATCAAACTGTTAGTGGATTACTTAACACTCTCTCTAAACAGGCACTAATTCCAGGATGCCCAGAATATCACTGTGGTCCCCCCGGTCAAAGTCAGAACTTATGGAGACCAGATAATCAAGTTTAAGCCAGGTCCTATTTACAGTGGGTCCAATGGAGTCCCAATCCAATCATGCAATTATTTCCTCAGTTCTGGAAAGCATAATTGGAATAAACATATGAGAAAATCGTAGGATCCCTGTATTGGTTCCCTGACCTATGAATCACGGGCCTCTATTGTAGGAAAGGTCAAAAGGAAGCCATTACAACTGCTTGTACCTAGGAAAACAGTAAACCAAAGGCAATACAACACTCCTGGGAAGAATTTTAGGGCATAGTGCCACCTTCAAGGACTTGAAACATGCAGAAGGGTTGCTTCCCACCACATCCCATTCAAATATCTATTTGACCTGTGCAGAAGAAAGATGGATCTTAGAGAGTGACAATGGGTTATTGTAAGTTACCCAGGTGAGGACTCCCATTGCAGCTATTATATTAGATGTGGCTTCATTCTTGAGCACATGAACCCATCTTCTGGTATTGATCTGGACGATGACTTGTTCTTCATCCCTGTGGGGCCTACTAGAAGCAGTTAGCCTTCAGCTGGTGAGGACAGCTCACTCCCTCTCCTACCTCAGGGGTATGTGAACTCTCAGGCCCTACGTCATAGTTCAGTTCACAGATATTTTAATCATCTTTTCCCATAAGCTATGGCCCTGGCCCGTTATACTGATGGCTGTAATTATTCATTTTGGCTGCCATAACAAAAYAGCACAGACTTGTTAACTTGTTAATGACACAGAAAAATTTGTTTTCTCAGTGTCCTGGAGGCTAAAAGTCCATGATTAAGGTGCAAATAAATTTGTTTCTGATGAGGGTTCTCTTCCTGTTTCCAGATGGCTGCTTTCTCTGTCCTCACATGACTTTTCTTCAGTGTGTTCATACAAAGACAGGGAGTAATAGCTTATTTTTTCCTTATAAATACATTAATTCTATGAGATAGAGTCCCATAATATGACATCATTTAATCTGAATTACTATAAAGTCCTTATCTCCAAATAAAGTCACACTGGGACTTAGGGCTTTAACATAGGAATTATAGRTAGGAGAGAGGAACATAACCTTCATCCCAAACAAGGACATTATGCCAGTTGGGTCTAGGGAGCAAGAAGTTGGAATAACCCTATTTATTGATAAGATATTTGTGTTCCAAAGGGTGGGAAATAAATACAACAGAAATCCTGGTCCTTCTACGTCAGTGGGATTTCCAGGAGTCCATTGGTATGGGACCTCATGAGATATGCACACATGTGTCCCTCCTACAACCAACAAGAAGGTACAACATCTAGGAGGCCTCTCTAGATTTTGGAGGCAACACTGCCGCAGTCCAGCTGCAGCAAAAHAACCGGGGGGTGACAAACAACTTGTATAGATTGATACAGCTGGAGTGGGAGCCGTCTATTGTAGGACAGGAGGGGTATATATACATTACACACAGCTTATCTTAACTAACATAAACTATCTACAGCAGTCAACCAATAAGGAATCTCCACACTTAATGGCTCGCTGGCATTACTTCACAAACCACTCCCTCTGCAAAATGCCAGGCGCCATCTTGACTTGTTTACAGACTCTAACAAACAMGTTCCTTATTTGGACCRTTTATTGTGTGACTGGATAAGTGGTTATGAGCTGAGCCCTCAACAAGAGAAGGTYCCATTTTACTCAGCTTCATGCTGCTGTGACTAAATGATGTGACCAGCACAACTGCAGAGGAGAAAAAGTTTATTGAGGGCTTCTGGTTTCAGAGGTCTCATCCATAGAAGGCTGGCTCTCTTCCTCAGGGCTCAAGGTGAGACAGAACATCATGGCGGAAGAGTTGAACCAGCTCACATGTTGATCAGGAAGTAGGCAAAGAGAGGCTCCACTCACCAGATAAAAATATATACCCCAAAGCCATGCCCCAATTCCCACCTCCTCCAGCCACACCCTACCACTTCAGTGCCACTCAGTTAATCCCTATCAGGGGATGAATTCACTGATTGGGTTAAGACT